GATTTCCTTTTGTCGTAACATTTACTCTGATGTTTTGACACCTTTTTCAAGATAACATCCAACAGTTTCACTGTTGTAGCTACAAACCTAGTTTCAAAGATGGGCAATATACACAAATATTTATCAGTACCTTTTTGAAAGAAGGCAGCTCTGGACAATATAATTTCTAATTCAACATCTGGCACTGTCATTAGTCCCTCTCCTGAACTGCATTGCCTCTTATGCCTTAGGTAAATAAAAAAATCATGCTTAAATGAATCTTCTGCTAACTATATTACAAATCTGTAAGACTTGAGTGCCAGTAATCATCCTTCCTGAGGAACCTTTCCCCCTGCCTCCATATAAAAGACCTGGTTTAGTGCAAACAGCCAGAGAATAACCATCACTCATACCATAGGAACACCCAAAGACCTTTAGGAGAGGTATACTGAGACCAGCTGCAGTGCACTCGATAGCCGGATTGAGAGAAAAACATTAAAGAGACATCCCAAGTCACTTAAAACCGGGAAGTAAATGGCAGGAAACAAAAGAGCCAAGAACCCTATGAGAAAGAAATCCCATTCACTAGCTGGGGAGCAATCAGAGGACATCAGGAACAGGACCGAGCTTTCTCTGCAACACCCCTGCACTTAGAGCGCAGGCAGTTATGCGTTCCAGCTAGGCAAATCAGATTCAAATGAGTGAATGTCCATACCAAGGTGGAATGCAACTACATCCCTTAAGTACCCTGCTGTCACAAAGTCATTCAGCCGCATTTATGAGAAGCCCAAAGGACATCCAGGGACCATCAATTTTATCATGACAGACATTTCTTTACATTATTACCAAAAGACATGCCCTATATGTAGTCTCCTGTCAAAATGTGAGAAATCAGGTCAAGTTTCAAGTCTTTGCTATGTTCAGCACATTCTCTAAATGATACTGCTTGAGCTTTCCTGAGCAATCCGGCTATCAAGCACTGTATGCTGCACATTAAACAAATCTAATCTTATTTCATTATTCCATGCTGGTTCCACTACTTACATTTCTAACCAAAACATCAGTTTAAATGTTACTGATAAGACTAAGCAGACATGGTACTAATAACCTATCTGTCAATCATTTAAAATTACTCTCAGCAGAATTATAAGCATACCCTCTAAAAATCACAATTTGCATTCTGAACATTTGGAGTGCAGATACCCGCTGCCCTCAGTCCAATGATTTGAATGTACATTACCCCCGCTTCTCCCCTGAATAATTATCAAGTAGTGTAAAGAGCATCAGGAATAGCATTTACTTTTCAGCAGGCTATCCAAACATAATCAGCCAGTTATCAGTTTAATGACAACCACAATGAACAGCACCTTCAGTCAATACAAATGTACTCCTACCTACTCCAGCTGCTTTCAGCGTATTGTCTTCTTTCAAAATGAGTTTGTCATCATCTTCCAAACTCACTACAAGTTCACCAGTCTACAAATCAGAGAACCAGAATACAAAGATGCGAGTAAGAACTTGCTGACTGTGTCTGCCCCAGCCTTCTCTGACAGTGCAGAGATATGCCTGCATTAAAGCATGTAGAAGGGGAAGAATACAGCTAACCACCATACCTTAGATTTGTGTGCTTGGTGAATAATCTTCATTGTATCTGAAAGAAAATACAATGTTTTCCTAAAATAAGGCTTAATAGGCAAGTAACACTGAAAGCTGTACTTGGGGAAGGAGAGACAAAGGGGTAAGGTTCAAAATCTTTTACTAACAACAATTTTGTGTATTCAGTCTAAAAGAGGAAAAAATGTCTTAATTTTCCAGTCCTGCAGCCACAGTCTTAAACCAGTCAATGTAACAGTGAGGTACCACATCCTATTTGGCTTCCATCTGCTGGCTGAATTACAATAACTAACTAATGACCATCCAATTGTCAGTAAAAACACATCAATTTAAATGCCAGTTAGGGCAGGACAAACAGCAGTTAGGCACTGTCAACTACTACAATTAAGTTGATAGGCAGCAAGTGATGAAGATACAATAACCTGACCACTTCAGATCAGTCCTAGAGATTTTCCTTCTCAGGAAGAAAGCACCCATGTAGAAAGTGTGTTAAGTCCATTTTCCATGAACACATACAGCCTCTCCTCTTTTTAATGCTATAACCTCTTCAATACTAATTATCTCTGACATGTTTTCACAGTGTAGCACTTTAAGAAATTATACTATACAAAAAAAGAAATATTGCTTTCCTCTGGCAATGTGGTCAGGGCTTTGTTAACAGAAGTGAAAAACTGGGGAAAATAATGTGGTCACTAAAGCAACCAGCTGAGTGCAAAGATCCAGAGGGAACGGAAGTCAGACAACGCCCATGCAGCACTAAAAAAAAAAAAAAAAAGCCTCAGTGTTTGAACAAATTCAGAATAACACATCAATCCCTTCCCAGCAACGAGGCAAAAAACAGTTCTGTTGGCCTGCTCATTTTCTGTTCTAGTTTGGTTTTGTGCATTAACTGAACACAACATGTTGAAATAGTCTCGTAAGAGAAGGATGCACGAAAGTTAAATACATGCTAAAATGACTTTCAAACTACAGAGAGCAAGTATTCAGCTGTTCAGAATAGCAGAGATCACATTCCCATTCAGTAGTTTGCTTCCACACCACTCCGGCCCATTTTGAATGTTTTATTTAAAACATTACAGAAGGTCAAAACTACTCTGTATTCCCACTGCAGAGGTCACTGAAAAGGCAGTCTTGGCATGCTGTACTCAATTGCAGTATTAGAAGCAAGACACATATTGCAGTTCCCAGATCCATCTTGCACAGAAGCATTGCAAAAAGACCAAGCAATCACAGCAAAACATATTGCAGTCATGAAACCTTTCTAACACAGCAAACACAATCCAGCCTCTGCCTGTTAGTTTTAAGCTTCTCCATCTACTTTGTCACATCCCCTTTTCCCTAGTCTTTGCTCAGTTGTTCTCTGAACTATTGTCTCAATTTTACTTCTTCACAGCTCCACCACAGGCATCCAGCAGTTTACCATGTCTTCATATGAGCTATTAGTTTCCCTAACTCTGTTACAGAGATGAAACTACAGTCTCTTCACATCCTACCTAAAAAGGTTTATATGTCCTCTCAATTGCCTTTGCTATTTCATCCCAATTTAGTCCCACTCAATCATATTCCCAGATTTGTTACCTTTCCTTTTCTGGTAATAGATCTTCTGTAACAACAGATAAGAAATCACCTTCTAAATCAGATTCTGTGAAGTATCTACCATATTGCTCCACATTCATGGAAAAAATAAATAAATTGAGAAGCAGCTTATGAGACAAGTTGGCACCCAGGCTTCCATCATCAGTGAAAAGATGGCAATGACAAGTAGGAAGATGAGAAGATTGACTGAGAAGACTTCTAGACCAAGGGCAAAAATGATGTGTACTGAGAAATGAAGAGAAAATGGAAATCATAAGCTTTGAGATGTGAGTTAGAGCACCAAGCCAAGAGGAAAAATGTGATGGAATTATAGATGATACCAAGAGAACAAAGTGGTGCTGGATTCTGGAGAGAAGGATGCCAAAACAAACACAAGGTGAGAGACAGACAGGTCCAACTGAGATTTCTGGTGCTGCCAAACAAAGCATAAGGAAAAATCTCACTCTTACTAGCACTAATCATGCAGAAGTCTCACTGTGCTTTCATCACCAAAACATAAGAAAGACAGTAGAGCACATAAGAGATGCCAAAAACATGAACCTGGATGATTCACAGCCTGAGGGGAAGGTGAGGAACTTGGCTTTGATTCTTCTGCGTGAAAATTTCCAGACAGCTAGCACCATCCCACTAAAAGTAGGCGCCCACTTAACTGGTGTAACAGGTTTTAAAGTTCTGCACTGTTTTTCACCCACATTATGCTCAGTCCTACACAGCATAATCAGGTGCTCAGCCACAACATATGCCTTGGAAAAAACTACACTGATCCTCTAAGTAATGAAAGAAACTAGCAGCAGGGATAGGCAGCACCAGGAATACAACTGATAGCAGCAGTCATCCATAGGGACCCTCTCATCTAGCCAAAGCCACAGATATTAGGAAGAGGAATGGCACCTTCAAATTCAAACTTGCAGTTACCTAGATTTTAAGACCTTAAGTAATATACTAAAAAGAATAGTAAATTCAAGTCCTTGCCACTGATGCATCATAAACCTTAATCCCTAACTCTTTTTTTCCCTGCTTTCATTTTACACTTTCTGTTTCACCATAAGCAAGAACACAGAATGAAATGCTTGGCTTTTTTTTTTTTTTTTTTTTTAATAGACAAATAGAGTCTATTACCATTCACATGTATTAAGTAAGTTCCTCATTTAATTCTTTGAATCACAGTAGTGGAAGGAGTTTGTCAACTCTAAGAACATGAGATGAAGAGGATCACTTGCAGCAAAACTCCAAGGGAACTTTCAGCATTGCCAAGTTTAGGAAAAGATACGTTACTGACATCCGAGTTAACAAACTCCAAGCAAGGAAGTAATTTAGTCTATTTTGAAAGTAAATTCTGTCCTAAACAGATGAATTGCACATGTTCAAATCTTCACAGAAAGGAAATATACACATAGCTTTACATTAGAGGATAAAGTCAGCCTGAATTTCACACCAGGCTATTCTATTGCATCAGCTTGTATTTAAGAGCTTTCATATCTACTTTGAGCAAAGTTCTGCTGCTTCTCTTGTCGTGTAAATTATTTAAGTATGTAAGTCTTAAGCATTTTCCATTTACTGCCTTCAGCTCCCACTTCACCATTCTTTCTGACTTCACAGTTAGTAAATAGATACTGAAATACATAAGCACACAAAGAACTACAATTTCAGATCACAAGCTGTTCACTAGAATAAAATCAGAGTTAAAAGGCACTTATAAAACTAATAAAAAATTTATACCAAAACCCATCAGTACCAATTAGTAAATAATGTATGTAGCCTAATTCAAAGATTAATACAGAACTTCAAAATAATGGTCAACTTCTGTAGATGTGATCCCAGTGGCATAACTCTGGCTACAAGAGCTGGATAGAGTTGCAAGTGTAGGCAAGCACTGTCACCAGCATGAGTATTCTAGAGCAGTTGTCTTCTAAATTGTATAGAAACTGGTATAAAATATTATGTCTGTGTTTTACAGGAATTAAAACAAGAAAAAAACAAAACACATACCATAGTTGTAATTTTTGAAAGGAGGAGGAAGTCCTGTTCTTGAAGGCACATCTATTAAAATAAAAGCACCAAGTTAAAACAAAGTTGTCTTTTTTTATTTTCTCCCCAGTATTTTATTTTCCATTATATCATGCATACATCCTGAGCACCCTTGACAGCAAAATAAATCCACAGGACAGGAGACTTGTTTGAGCATTGAATACTAAAACACAACCTTTGGCTCAGATTCTATAGTTACTCCGTATCTGATTAACTTCACTTGAGCATGAAGTCCCCCTGAACAAAATGACACATGAGGACTGTGAGTCGATGCAATCAGGATATGATCACGGGAGTCTGATCCTTCAGAAATCTGCCAGGAACATCCTGTCAATGGTTTGCACAGCATCTCTTTCCACCTTGCAAAAACAGCTGACAACTGTCATTCATAACTGAATCGTTCAGTAAGCACAGCCATGTGAACCAGCCACAAAAAAGGAAGCCAAACTGTAGAAAATTAACTCTTTAGCTGCATGCAGGACACAGCCCATAAGCCGCTGCAAGAACAGTAACACCTTCCTTGGTGCCAGTGTTCCCAGTGACACCCAGGGATTTAACCAGGGCCTTGAAAGGCCCAGCCACTTGTAAGGTGCTCAGCAGCAAGGCAGCTGAAACCATAATTTCATCAGTAGTTTAACAATTTGTCTCAAACTCCCCCTTCAAAACAGATTACAGTAAAGGAAGGAACCTGGCTGCTTTTGGACCAGGAACAAGCACCATACATCCATGTGTGGAATGAAGGTTCCAAAAAGTCTTGTTCAAGACACTAGCATTGTCTCAAATAACAGTGAGTTGCAATACTGCATACATCAAAAGCAAGTTTCTTAGCATTGTTTTGTATTTTATTCTTCATAATAGCAGCTGTACCATATGTTCTGAAAATGCTTGTAGTATTTTAAAAGCATCCTAAGATCTTGCCATGCCTGTCACTGTCTAGAAGCATGGAAGTTGCTGAAAACACAGCTGTTGAGGCCCAGGGCAATGTCCTAGGAGTTGCTCAAATGTTAACAGCTGTAACAGTTTGAGACTTGTTTAAGCTGACCTCATGCAAAAAAATCAAATTATGTTATTCTGCACCCTTTGAATGTCTCCATTTAGGTGTGTAGAAATACACCTGCAAGATTAGGGTAACACCCTAACTACTGAGTCCCTGCGTGGGCTGGTCTCCATTAATTAACTTTTAGATACACTGTCACTTTCAACCAGGCTTCTAAAACATAAAACCCATAGATGAGTAAATCTGCACCACAAAGCTCAAGAGGGAGACAGAAACTCAGAAGCAAACATGCACAGTGAGACCTCACAGTGTCCAAAACAATTTTTCAAAATCCTCTCTTCTCACTAATAACAAACAGACTCGTGTTCCCACATTCCACATATTGGTGCAGTTCCTAAGGATCAAAGGCTCTCTAAATTCTATTAATTTACTCCTGTTAATTTATGAATAGCTGCCTGACAGCACCACTCAAGGAGCATGAGGCACTAAGCCAAATGCAGCAATGCTCTGGTCTCTTTTTGACTAAACACAGGGATTTGGGCAGGGGGAGTATTATTCCCAAATTTAGGCATGGCACATTGACCATGGAAGCCCTTATTAACTCCAGACCTCTCATCCAAGGGAGGAGAGCACACAGGGGAGGTAAACACAAATCTGGCATCTCTAACCAAAGCCACAGAATTCACATTCATTTGCTCCCCTCCACTTTCTTTTGCAGAGACAGCAACACATGGGACTGAAACGAATGAATAAGACAACGGCCCCTTACCCTTCTGCACAAAAGTAATGAACTGCTTTACTGTCTGATCCAAGTTAACGCCATGATACACCACAGGTCTGAAGTTCCGGTGTTCAAAAGAACGAACAAGACGGACTGTGATGGTTGAGCTTTCTGCTGACATGAGAATTGATTCTGAATAACCTGGAAAACATTAAAGAGAGGAATTATTGCCTTTGTGTACAAGCACAGCTAGAAAACAAGGTGCAGTTAGGCCTCATGCAAAGATTAAAACACGGCAAGAAATTCAGTAACATTTTGTCTTTCGGGACTTCACTTTTAGTATTTCTATAGAAGCAGTAACAGGATCTCAAAACAAACAGGGTTACCTAGGATATTATTGATACTGCACCCCAAATAGTCCAGTATTTGTGCCTGTGCTGTGTACTACAGCACCAGACTCCATATTAAACACACAAAAGTGTTATGGAGAAATGCAAGTATGCTGTTTGGGTTTTAAGTGACTGAAGACTTCACCTGCTGGGTGAGTGACCTTGTGCTCTAAAAAAATGTACTAACATGAACAAAACCTTTTTAATATACTTATGTTGTAAAGAGCATAATACCCTGAAAAATGCCTAAGCTCTTAGACAATGCTCATTTTCACTTCCCTACAGAAAGTGGAAAAATGTCCCCCATGAACACATGCAAATAATTCTCCTGGTATACTACTACATAATTAAGGGGTTTAATTTAATTTATAATAGTAGGTCTCTAGAATGGCTCAACAGGGCTTATAGTACTTTCACAGAGAGCAGAACCTACAATGGCATCGCCTATCAAACCGAGCCCCTCTTCAAACAAGCCCAAGCATTGTGTCATGGGGTTCTTTCTCTCCACAGGAAAATGAGCTATTTCCTACCTTGGCAATCTTCTCTGGTTTTGGTGCTGGGTGTTCCTCAACAACATTGCTTTCTGGTCACATGCTAAACCGCCATGGCTGCTGCAGCAATGCACAAAGACTGCAGTCTAAGTGCTACAACATCAGTCAGGGGCACAACCTCTACATCTCCTATCCCTTAGCAGCCACTCCAGTCACCACTTCCAGTCCTGCAAGGGATTCTCTTATTTATTCATCCCTTTACATTCTTTTCTTGGTGTCTTTTTCTTTTGGTTTTTTTTGCCTTTCTTGCTGTGGGGTGAGATTATTTTAGTGCCCCACCATCATGCAGGTATCAAGGTACCTTCCAGTCTTTGCTCTATTTGTCCTAGCTGCATCCTGGCAAAGTAAACCTGCAATATTTTCTTCAAATACTTTCTGCAGAATGGGGACACAGGCCTTCCACATCACAAGGCAACTTGCTTTTACATCCCCTTTGTTAATAATTCCGAGCTCTAATTCCATTTTCATTGTAAATAAGCTGCGATACACAAATAAAAGATGCCAATCAAGAAAAGCATACTCCTCTGCATCTGAAAATAACTAGATTTGTATTAAACGGGGAAGGCAGATTTCTTTTTTTTTTATGCTATTCAACATGGGGCCAAGGTCTAGAGGGCATAGTGCAGCGTAAAGAAAAGGGAACAGCGTTCAATTCACTTTCTCCTCAGCAGCATGGAAGAACATTGTAGGAATATAGACTTGGGAGCACTGACAATGAGAAATCGCTGATTTTCCCATTTACTGTCCTGACCCAACAGACTGATCCCATGTAGGGCTCGGACAGGCGCTACCCAGCACCTCCTCAGGGACAACATGGCAGATTCTCCTCAGGGCCGGATCTGAGGTGCCGATGGTCAATATCTTTTGTGAAGAACAACCTCCCCCGGGCCTGCCCGGCTCCTGCCTGCCGGCAGCAGCACCACGACCCGCGGCGGAGCACCAACCCGCCCCAGCACATCTCCCCAAGACCGAGCAGCCTCCCCTCAGCCCTCACACCGCCCCCGCCCCGCCCGAAAGGGACCGATAAGGGCCCTCAGCCTTACTACCGACTCCCCTGCCGACACTTCCGGGTCTTTCTCTCCTCGCCCCGCCTCACACAGCCTCACCAATCACGTCCTTTC